GAAGATAAAAAAGTTCAAAAACGCAGCAAGGACATTTTATTGGTCAATTGGAGCAATTGGAAAGTACCATCGTTTTCTCCTCTTTCCATCGTCTCCTTTTCTTTTTTCCTTCATTCCCGCGGTAATGAATGCAACGTGCTGTGAATCGATAATCAAGGTGGCCATTGAGAGTTCCTAAGACACAGGGACACATTTCAGTGGATTTAAATGGCGGATTTAGGGTGCACAACCTCTTTCTATCTGTTTTGAGTGGAGAATGACGTGGTGGAAGTGGTGGTGGTGATGGTAGTAGTGGTGGTGGTTGTTGTTCTGGTGGTGATGCTGTTCTTCAGAGTAGTGGACAATTGAAATAAATGGACCCACACTCGGGCAAGTGGCCACTTTGGGGAGAGCCACAAAGAGAGTACTAGTGCTGTGTACTTGCCGTTTGCAAAGTACAGCCATTTAGATGCGCTACAATCGATAGACCTGATTGAGCTCACTTAGTCCACTCGCTGAACAGGAGAGGAGAGAAACGCAAATGTTATTTCACTGTTTTGGTGGCAATGCTGTTGCTGCACCGCTGATACTGTTTCAATTTCACAATTGTCACTGTGCTCTTTCTTTTCTAATGTGAGAGAGATAACGGAGATTTATTAAGTCATGAAGTGTTTGTCTCCAGTTGGTCAGTCTGATAAGATGGACAGAGGATCGATGGCTGGTGACTTGTCCAGGCTAAACGCTCGTCGACACAGTCGAGCAAACACAAGAAGGTCATCAGAAGTCAGTGCACAGGAGTGCAGCACAACCAAAACAGCGGCCAAGGAGACAGGACGACAAATTGACAGTTGACATATGGCTGCTAATCAATCAGGTCAACTGCAGTAGATTTGCCAACCTAAACTCACCCGAATCAGCCAAAAACATAGAAATGGAAATTTTTTTGGCTCGGACGTTTTGGAGAGCCTCCTGCATTGAGAGAAGAGCCAAAAAACGTGAGACACTTTTCGGCGATGTGTATTTGCTCCTGAGTGTATTTTGTTTATTTGACTGCTCACTGAAATGTCCAGTAAAATATATCACATTTTTTCTGTGTTGTAAAAAGAAGCAGATGCAGTAAGGGCAAGTGAAAGGCTAAAATTGTAAATTCCAATCACGTGAACTACATTGCAAATTCTTGAGCGATTCCGTTTCATTTTACTGGTTAGCTGTAAAGAGGTTGTTGTTTGCTTTTACGATCGCTTAAGATTTATTCTTTTCCTTTGCCTATTTTGTCGTGAAATACTGCAAAAGAAAACTGAAAATATATATGCGCTGGCGAATAATGTATGCGATGTAGATTACATGTTTGGATTACAGTGGCACCATTTAAAGTGTAAACATTTGTTCAGGGTTTTTGATCAATTTAAATGCAATCATTATAGTGCTTCACTGAAGCCTTAAAAAGTTCCAAGTGCCATTTTAATCAAAAAACACTACTCTGTTTAAGTCAATTGATAAGATCCAGTTACTTGTGGTGCATTTTGCAAGAGCACAAATTTTTTAAAAGCTTCATCTTTAAAAAATGAAAATATTTACTGTCAAACTAATCATCACCGGTTTTGTGTTTGTTAGATTGCGCAAGTTATAACATGGACTTTCTTTGACTTATTTTTAAATACATAATAAAAAAATGTGATGACTTTAAAGATTACTCTGACAAATCTCTAGTCTATTAAAAGTACATTTTGTACAATTGCAAAAATTATATGAATGTCAATAAAACTGATAACGCCAGTTCTTAGAAAATGAGTCGTTTATGTTTAAATACAATTTAACAATGAATCATTAGTTTATTTAAATTAGCAAAGATTTATTTAATAACATTTATGAAGGGCGAAAATGTAAATTAATCAATTAACAAAGTAAATCTTAAATTTACTCATTTGGAGCCACACAGGGAATACCTGTAGTTGCTTGAATCCAACCTTTATAGTTACTAACTTTAGTAAAGACACTGGTTAATCGAGGCTGGGCACACCCCAGGTGGAAGCTGCCAATGCCGTAAGCATAGGAGGTGGCAGGTCGATTTGCCACTCCACCTTCGTCGCCGTTACACAGTCCAATGCCGCCGTGTTCATAGTCTCCAGCACAAAACATAGAGTCGTCCATATTAATACCAATGTCTATGTGATAAGGTGCGCACTTCAGTTCAAGAAAGGGAATTTGAATGTACTGCAAATCAACGTTAGCTTCATTTGAGTCAGATTTTCGAGAGCCCCAGCCTGCAAATTGCAGTAGTGCGTTCAACTGTGTGTTCATTGCGCAGGGAATTTGGGCAAACCTGGTAATATCTAGGTCTGCGGCAGTGTGAATTAGCGCAATGTTGTTGGTGTAGTGTAGAGAGTCGAAATCAGGATGAGGAACAAATGAACTGATGTCAGCTTGTTTACCACCAAAGTTCACTATAAGTGTGTTGTAGCGGATTTGTGTTAGTTTGTTGTTCAATGAAGAAACACACTTGGCAGAGGTCAAAATCCAACGTTTGTCAATTGCTGCACCGCCGCATACGTGAATGCCGTTGTACTGAATTGACACCATCCAAGGAAAGTCGTTTTTGGACTCTACGTTTGCTGAGCCAACCAGACGAGACTGGGTGTTGTTCTGGACTGTCAGAGCCAAACTGGCGCCCATCAGACTGAAGAGAATGAGAAGAAGTTTCATGTTGGGATTATCGTTTAGGGAAAAAAAGAGAAAAGAGAGTTTATCGATGATGCATTGTTGCGTGTGGATCTTGGCCTTTTATACTCTGGAACACTCCAGTAGTTGGCCCAAACAGGTTCATTTTCAAAGTCATATAGTTTAAATAACTGATAGCACAGTTTGACTGATTCCAGCTAAATTGGAGGAGGATTGCTTTATTTGCTTGTCAAAAATAAGGGACAAAAAGGTGATAATAAAAAGGTGAAACAGTAATAGTATGAAAATGTTCGCTTATAATACGGAAGACAGTTTTATCAGCAGTAAATTACCACCACTAACCTTCAAATAGGGTGACATTTGCTTCCTTATAGAGAAAAGCTCTCCTCCTACTGCCACACAGTATAAATAGGCAATAAATGACAATAAAATGGACTTATCACATAAATGGTTCTTTTATGCGTTAGCAGGAAATTTTTATCCTTAACAGTAGTGGCCATTACTTAGACTTTCCAGGTCCAATAAAACGTAAACAGTACTAATCTAAAAACGTCCTAGAGCCAGTATAACCCAGTCCAAATTGCCCAACAGGTTGTCAGGCAGCCAACGTTTGCTAAAAATTGGCAAGAATACAATTTTAAAGTAGAGGTTCTGGGCATTAGTTTTAAATCTTGAAAAATCAACAAAATTCACCAAAAAATACTCTAATTTGGAAAACAAAAAACCAAGCGTTTTCTTTTTCTAAGAAACAAAAACGATTTGCTCAACAAATTACTTTTTGATTCGAAGGCAGTTGTAGTAGTAGCTNGAAAAATCAACAAAATTCACCAAAAAATACCCTAATTTGAAAAACAAAAAACCAAGCGTTTTCTTTTTCTAAGAAACAAAAACGATTTGCTCAACAAATTACTTTTTGATTCGAAGGCAGTTGTAGTAGTAGCAGTTTTTGAGCAAGGAATTGCAAAGTCAAGTCAATGTTCCTTGTCGGTGGAACAAAACCCCAACTGTTTACACTATACGGAGGATGCCTGTTTATAGACCTCGAGAATGCAATTGAATTGTAAATTTTCTTCACTGCTATTTTAGCGGGCAGTCAAACAAATAGAGGGAATTTATTCAATTGCCGGCCGAGAGCGGCTGCCGTTTGTGAGAGGAGAAGGGAACACCGAGCCGGGCGACAACCGGGCTTTCTGCCTAGACCTTTTCTTCTTCACTCTTCTTCCATTGTTTGTCAGGCAATTAAATTATCTTAAATTGTTTCAATTTGCAGTGGAATGTTTGCCTTCTTGCTGGCCTGCGACGCAGTGAATTGCCGCAATTGGGACCCGTTTCCTTTTTTTGTGTAGATTCTCAATCGATTCAGCAAAAAACAGCACAGCAAATGGTTAGTTTACTTTTGTAACAGAAAAATGTAATGTAAGGCACTTTGTCGCAAAACGACCAAGTCGCAGTAAAGCATCTAAACACTAGAGTAAACACTTAAGTTTGCGTTTTTGCTAAAATTGCTGCCGTTTAGTAAAACAGCTTTTTAAGGTTATTTTTTAATTTTTATAACTAAAGAAGGTGTGGAGTGCTATAAAAGNTTACTTTTGTAACAGAAAAATGTAATGTAAGGCACTTTGTCGCAAAACGACCAAGTCGCAGTAAAGCATCTAAACACTAAAGTAAACACTTAAGTTTGCGTTTTTGCTAAAATTGCTGCCGTTTAGTAAAACAGCTTTTTAAAGTTATTTTTTAATTTTTATAACTAAAGAAGGTGTGGAGTGCTATAAAAATTTTTATTAAAAATAATATTCTATACTTTACTCTGCCATCTGATGACAAGAATTTAAAATGAATTCTTTAGTTTTCTAATTTTGTAAAACAATATTACGTCATATAAACGTAAATATCATTTACCATGGTTTTCATTGCTAAACAAACGAGAAAAATTATTTAAAAACTTGCTCACTTAACATTCATTTTTATTCAAAAACTTTTGGGAAATGGCAAACTACTTGTTAGGAAAATTAAAAACGGTTATTTTATTCAATGACACACTTAACTCTTTTCAAATTTTCGTTACTTATTTTAACGAATTGCATCTAATCAATCAATTTCCTAGCAGTTCAACAAAAATTTTAAAACAAGTTAAAAACCGCAAACGTTTTATTGGCTTGTACATGTTGCTATTTGTTGTCTTTTTCTTTATTCAAACTTCAATACCTCCAACTGTAAATGTTATTTTGTTCAATTTTGTGTTTATTGAAAACCTTGAGCCGTATTGGAATATATGCTGGATTTCGATTATTTTCATAAGTTGGTATTCAATTGACATGCTCTACTCAGATGTTAATGGAGCAACAACAGTTTTATTGCATCAAATTTTAATTCAAGAAAGGAATGACTTTTTCATTTGGCCATATCACAAGTTTAATGGAAAAACCATCGCAAGTCATGTAATATGCAAAGCAGTTGAAGCAAGAAACTTGTTTCGGGTACTATCAGTTGCAAATGGTATAACTCATTTAAAACTAAAGCATTGTTTTAATTTTAACTTGTTTATTGACAGTGTTCTACTACGTTTATACTCAAACAAAAATTATTTCAGTATTTTATTCTCAACTGACACACCTTAAAGGTTTCTTATTTTACCTCATTTTTCAAATGTTTGCTTCTTTTCATTTACTAGCAATTTACTATGTAATTCATATTTTGACATTGGGTGGCTCGCTGATTTTAGTACTTATGAAAATTGGAAACATCAAGTTGAATCAAATGGACATTTTTATCTCCAAAATAGATACACAACAGTTCAGTTCATTTCAGCTGTTTTACTTTCTGCAACACAATAACATGTCTCTTNAATTGGAAACATCAAGTTGAATCAAATGGACATTTTTATCTCCAAAATAGATGCACAACAGTTCAGTTCATTTCAGCTGTTTTATTTTCTGCAACACAATAACATGTCTTTGCAACTATTTTCACACTACAATTTAGTATATGGCAAAATGTTCCTAGTCTTCCTTTTATGCGGTCTACCTGTCAATACCTTACTAATTACAAAACTTCTTTTTTTTCCGCTGCCAGCAAACTTGCAAATTATTTTTGTTGTCATAATTTTCATGCAGCAAAACTACCTTTTTATAATGCATTATTGGTCTATCATGGCAAGTATTCAACTGCACAAACCAGCAAAAAGATTTTTTAAAATACTTCTTTTGTCTAAAAAACTTAAAAATTTTTTGGTACGTTTGAAATTGAGTAGATACATCGAGCAGTTTGTCAATAAGAATACTTATTCAATACAATATGGCAAATGCGGAAAAATTACGTTTAACTCGTTTATTAAAGTAACAAAAGTGTTTATTTGATTAAAAACTGACTAAATTATTTTTTAATAGTTTCTATTCAACTACTTAAAATTTTTCATGTTTTTTTACAAGATTATCACAATACAAGAAACAATTGGTAATCGTTT